GACGCCGCAGCCGGAGCGGATCCCGATGTAGATGACGGGATCAGCCCAGCTGCGTGAGTGACAGCTGGCTCTGCCTATCTAGAGGCAGAGCCAGCTGTACCCGCCCCTCCCCCGTCCGTTCCGCCAGTCAGCGCTGGCAGATCGGAGCGGGGAGGGGGGAATCCAGCCCCTCCCCCTGTCACAGCAGAGAGCCGTGACAGGATCGAGAAGTGAGCGAACACCGGCATGTGTTCGCTCACCTCCCAATCTACTGAGCCGACCTGTGACAGTCTCAGTTCTCCTTTAAGGTAGTATTACCCTTTTTTCAGTACTGACCCCAGATTATACAGATATACAAAATATACAATGTAACAAGTATTTCTTTACATTATTTCCTAAGCACTTACAGTCACCATGTTTCCGAATAGCTGGCTCCAACTCTCTCAGCTCAGCTTCCCGGAACTTCCTGTCCAGTACAAGATCACAAGGGACAGAGCAGTCTCCAGTGGCTGTCCATCTACTAGCTTAGTGAAGGAAAAAGGAAGGAGGAGTGGAGAGCAGGAAGATGGGAGTGTCTTGCCTTGCTGTGGAGGCACACACAGCTTACTTCCACACACAAAGGTGGCTCTATAGGACCCTGCAAGGGAGAGGAGTCACCCAGAACAGGATATCAGGGCCAGTGCTCAGCAGGAAACTAAAACTGTTAAATGATTTCATCAGCAAATAGCGTAAAATCCTTTTGACTTTAATATGACTTTAAATCTACATGTTCGTGGTAGACTGCCCTATCCACAGACTGCCCTATCCACAGACTGCCCTATCCACAGTGCTCACAAAAACACCAGTGCTCTGATAAATAAGCCTCTCGCCTCCCTGTTCAGACCCTTGGGTCTCAAAGCGCTTATTGTAAGATTAAACTTCTTCCTCATACTATTTGAAGCCAGCGGCATAACACCCGGGGGGCAGTCGGTGTGGCTGCCCGAGACGCAGAGCTGGGGGGGTGGCGGGCAGTAACAAGCGAGACCCGGCGAATGAAAGATTGCAGCGGTATGGAATCCAGGGCGGTATGTTGCTTGTAATTAGTAATTAGCCTGCAGGCTGTCCGTCGCCCCCCCCCTCCTCGCTGGCTCCGTCCTCCGGGCTCTGTCCTCCCCCTGCCGCCGAGTCTCCTCACTGCCACTCTTTTAAAAGTAACCCTGCCACTCCATTTAAACAGAGGGGAGAGCCGTGCTCTTCCCCTCTCACCTGTCACAGGTGTTCTAGCACAGTGCTATGCTAGAACTCCTGTATTGGAGGTGACAGGTTCAGTAAAGAGAACCTGTCACCTACAAATGCTATCACACAGGGGCTTGTTAGCTCGTGTGTGATAGCGAAAAAAGTTAAGTGGAAAAAAATTGATACAAAAATTAATTAACCACTTCAAGACCAGGTGTTTAGACCCCCTTCCTGGCCAGGCCATTTTTCAGTGTTCAGCGCTGTGGTACTTTGAGTGACATTTATTCCGTCATGCAACACTGTACTGAAATTAATTTTATACCATTTTTTGGGGACTGATAGAGCTTTCTTTTGGTGGTATTTAATCACCACTGGGGGTTTTATTTTTTATTATAATTAGGAAAAATTACAGAAAATTTAGGAAAAGTTAGGAAACATTTATTATTACGCAGTTTTTTGGTAAAATATAAAAGACGGGGTCACGTCGGGTAAATAGACACCACACATGCCAAGCTTTAAAATTGCGCGCACCTGCGAAATCGCAGGAAACTACCATACCCAAAATTGGCCATAGGCGACACTTTAAAAGCCTTTACCGTTCATCAGTTTAGTGTTATCAGTGATTGATGGCCCTAGACTTATTGCTCTCACTCGGACGTTCGCGGCGATATGTAACATGTGCGGCGTAATGGGCGCAATCATCTTTTTTTCACGTATGCGCCCCCGACACATGTTTGCATGCGTGTATGTATGGG